AATAATAGTCCCTAACTCAGAGAGTTAAATGAGCTAATGCACTCAAAGAGCACTCAGAGCCTGACCCGCTGTTAGTATCGTCCATGGTGGCATGGGGGTGCTCCTGTGCCTTGCAGTGCTGGTAGAACAGCAGGGAGCAGGTGCCAGGCAGTAGGGCAGCGAAGAATAGATCTGTCTCTGGGCTCAGGGTGCTGCCTCTGGGTACTCAGGGAGAAGACCTGTCATGTGTGCCTGCCGGGCCTCCTTTCACTGTCCCCATATTCTCCCTCTTTGTTCCTTTTGCTGCCCCATTGCTTCTGCTAGTTTCCCTTTCTTTGCCACTGAAAGTGTAGAGAAAACCAGTACTGAAACTAAGCAGAATTTTATATCATTTTTTGTTGGAGATTGATCTTTTTTTTTTTTTGAGACAGAGTCTCACTCTGCTGCCCAGGCTGGAGTGAAGTGGCAGGATCTTGGCTCACTGTAACCTCCGGCTCCCGGGTTTAAGCAATTCTTGTGCCTCAGCCTCCCAAGTAGCTTGGATTCCATGCCCTGCTAATTTTTGTATTTTTAGTAGAGAAGGGGCTTCACCATGATGGCCGGGCTGGACATGAACTCCTGACCTCAGGTGATCCACTCATTTCAGCCTGCCAAAGTGCTGGGATTACAGGTGTGAGCCACTGCACCCGGCCAGAGATTGACATTTTAAAGTAATGTAACAAGTTTAGTAACAAGTGATAAGTAGAATTTTCAGCTCTTAACATCTGTCCAGTCTCTGTGCATATGAGCCAGGTTTCCCAGCATAGCCCAGATCTCATAAGTACATGCGTCAGGGGAGCAAGTCAGGCAGGTAGACCTTGCGTCTGCCCTGCTACACGGTAGGTCCTTGGTAGAAGAAATGTAGGAGGGTGTATGTGTTTTCTTGCCCTCTCTAGCTTCTGCATATACCAGGAAGAATTAAATAGAGTAATAGAGAAAAGTCAGAGGAAATTTTAGGATATTTTTCAGTTGCATATTCTGTTCACTGCAGATTTTGTTTTTGTGTTTTATTTTCCTGTATTTGCCCCCAGATGAAATTCTGGTTAGATACTTTCCCAAGTGTCTAATCTGTAAGAAATCCTGTTTTCCTTAGAAAATTTTCACCTAGCTTTCTCTGGAGTGGAAAAAGTCTAAATGTATTTTTTTTCTCATTGAGTCTAATTAAAGTATAGATTTGCACCTCCAGGTAACAGTATTGCAACAAATGTGGGGAATTCGTCTCAACATAATTAAGGATAAATTAGAGCCAGATATTCCAGCAATGTCTTATTCTGAATTTTGCCAACTGTAAAACTTGCACAGTGGAGAGCACTGTAGAAATTGGCCGTGCCATTGTTCATTGACTTTTTAACAATAAGGTCTTTTCTTTTTAACTTACACAGGTTGGATGATCCTAAAATGTCTGAAACGGAGCGCCAGTCCATGGAAAGCGAGCGTGCAGACCACAGCCTGTTTGTCCAAGAGCTCCTTCTGTCCACTTTAGTGCGTGAAGAGAGCTCATCCTCAGACAAGGATGATCGGGGGGAGATGGCAGATTTTGGTGCTATGGGCTGCATAGATATTATGCCTTTAGATGTTGCTTTAGAAAACCTACATTTAAAAGAGAGTAATAAAGGACATGAGCCTCCACCACCTCCTCTTTGATGACATCCCAATTCGCAGACAATGTCCTCTGTGCTGTATTTGCCAATGAAAGTGGACAACAACTATCTTGGGTTTATTTGGTGATTGTAATTTCAGGTCGGTCACTCTTGTTACATTGTGTACCTTCAAAAGGAAGAGAGAAAATATATATGATAATCATTTCCACTTAACTAATTTTTACTTCTAGCAAGTAAATGTAGGTAGCAGTGCAGGGGGGATCTCTGCTTCCTGTACCTTGACATGCAAAAGGCTCTCCTGATACTCCACATTCAAACTGAAGAGGAAAATTGAAATCTCTAATGAAGCTGCTGTGTGTACTTATGAATATTAATGAATAAAAACTGCTTGGATGGTTTACCTTAACTACTGCATGAGATTTTTTGCAGCGTGCATGAGTTTTAGTGACCTTGTTATTTAAAAAATTAAATACAAGGAGTAAAACTTAAAAAAAAAAAAAACGAAGCCCAAAGCTTTCCCAAACATTATTCAACGGTTATACTATGAAGTAGCTTTTGAATAATGTCTGCCTGAATCACCTTTCTTTGTGTGCCTCCTAAGCACAAAGCCAGCTCTGCAGTGGAATCTGGGGATGGTAGCCGGGTGTGGCACTCCGCCCTGTGTGACTGTCCTGTCTCCCTGTTAGTCATCTTGCCTGTGTGGGGCTCAGCCTGTCTCTAACTCATCTGTAGAAGACACAGCAGTGAAGCTGCCGTTGGAGGCTGCTGCAGGGGCCTTTGTGTGCCCTAAAAACAAATCCTGTTCATGTTTGTTTACAGTTTTTACTTTTTGTGGTTGTTTAAAATTTTTTCAATTGTTAAGTATGTTTTATTCAGGTGTAGATGAATTTCATTTATTGACTGTTCAACAGAGTTAACCTGAATTATGTCGTCTTTGTTTTTAAAAATCTCACATTCTCGATCATATTTTGCGTTATTTATGTATTTGCTTTGTAGTTTGCTGAGACAGATCAGTATCAGGGGAGTTTTGAGGATTTGCCTTCCCAGATGTGTCAATAGATTACAACCAAATTCTTAATGCTAATTTTAGCACCTTTTATTTATTGGGTTTTTTTTCTGGCATAAAAAGTAAAGCCTTTTAATTGAATCATGCCACCTATATGCCTATATTATTAATCCTATGTGTAAAAAAAGTACAGCTTTTTGGGGGTTTGTTTTGGGGTTTGGAAGGGCCGGGTTATTTTTGATTTCCTGTTTCGGTTTTTGTGCATAGACTTCCACAATAGCTCCAAGGCAGGGACAGCGGGTTTGGGGGTTGGGAGGGCAGTTTTTGGAATGTAAATTTAGGACTTTTAAAAAGGTGCGCACAGCTTCTGATAAATTTATAACCAGACTTAACCTAATCGTGTCTCATTCCAGTTCTGTTTTCTCTGAGCCCTTTCCTTAGTCTGCACTCTTTCTCCTGTCATCCTTTTCCTTTCCTGTCCGCGTATCTCCATTTCTTCAACATGACAAGCATACAGCCTTGAACACCTTTCCGCTGTTCTTCCGAGAACTGTGAAGTCCATGTTCATCCAAATGTAACCGAAAAAGAAGTCACCCTACATGTCTGAAAAACTGTTGCTTCTCCTCTGAAACTTCAAACTCCAATCATAGCTTTGTTTTCTTTAGTTTCTGTACTGGAAAATGTTTAAAGGAAAACTTCACACCAGGCTTCTGGTTACACCAGAAGTCAAGCCCAGGAGGGATTTTCATTTTTTTTCGATTGGTTGTTGAGAAGTTTCAAAAACCAGTTTTCAAGCTGTGGTCTTTCAAACACATCTGCACTAAGTCACACATTTCAATAAAGCATTTTCAAGACTGTTGACTACTTGAATTTCTTTGGTGTTGGTGGATTAACCTAACCATTACTCAGAGATTTTCTATCTCTAATCCAGTATTTTTTTTTCTTTGTATGCTAAACGTGGGAGATCCTGGTTTTGTGTGAATGCATTATTTTGGATGTGAGAAATTTTTAAATATGCCAATTATGTACTTTCCCTTTTCTGCACAAATTCTTGGAAAATGTAAGAGCCTTCATTTTTTAACATGGTTTTAGGGAACAACTGTAAGTCCATTCAGAGCAGTTTAATTTAGATGATCACTTGAACACTGCAGAAGACCTAAGGAGTCATAAGATTCCATCTCATGTAGAATCCTGTATATTAATTATTTTTACCAGATATTTTACAAACACCTCACCTCATCCTGTATGTAATCAATAATGTATTATTTTAGGGTAGAAAGACAGAGAATATCAATATAAAAATATATTCAAGCCCTTGAAATTCTTGTGTCCTTTTTCTTTAGTTTCTGGATCAAAATCTTATTACTGGATGTACTGTTGAATAAAAATTGCAAAGACTTTGATGTACAGGAGACAAAATCAAAATACACTACTGTTTATTTTGGCAGTACCTTCAAATTTCTAAGGACCAGACCCTGAATTTTGAGAAGTTTTTGTTTGGTTGAGTTTTGAGCGTCTAGGATATAAGTTTATAAATGTTCTACAGTGCTTGTCTTTACTTCCTGTTAAGAAATCATTTAAATCTTTCTCCTCAAGGTGCTCTGGAAGAAGTTTAATTTCAACTCTGAACAAATAGAAATAACTGTGCTTTCTTGTATGGCTGCAATCATAAGATACAATTTCTATGGTTGGCTACCGTGAAATTATTGTATTTATATTGCATTGTTTTGTTTAAAACAAAAAAAATCCACAGAAGTAGAACCTAGGTTTGCTACTAACAAAATAGTGGATTCTT